CTCCCAGTACTCTGGTTTTCTCCCAGTACTCTGGTTTTCTCCCAGTTCTCTGGTTTCCTCCCAATACTCTGGTTTCCTCCCAGTACTCTGGTTTCCTCCCAGTACTCTGGTTTTCTCTCAGTACTCTGGTTTTCTCCCGCATTTCATTGAAAACCCTCTGCGCGCTTCAATCCAGGCCAACAAAAGTGATTAGTATAAGCTGATATAATTTGTTTCATTCTTGTTGTTAAATAAATAAAGTTCATACCTGTTTCAGTTAATATTATCTTGAAGCTAAGCAGTTTTATTTGTTGACAATATGTCAAGTCGTTTTTAAAGACTCGGGTACGATTCAATTGTATGGTTGAAATAAAGTAGCTATACATTATCGTATTTGTGTTGCTGTTTCTGTTTACATATCTCTAAATTATCGTTGTATATTTCTCTGTAATCAACTAATTTATTTTTTTGTTCTAATTTGTCATCTTTTCGAGCTTGTCAATTGAAGTTTTTCACAAAGAAAACGATCTTTCTTGCAAAATTCATTCCAAAAGGATCTATTTGTTATAAAAACGTAGAGTGAAAAACTATGAATCAACATGATTGGCATTATTAGAACCCTAAAATGTAACAAAGGACCAAGTGATAATAAGCGGTTGTGGCGCCCCCGTACATTTTACCCTTTGGGTTTTTCCGACACTTGGATACCAGGCTGGACATATTACAGAAGAAGGCGGGACACTCCAATTCTACAGTTGAAGCAGTCACGTATGAGGGACAGTTTCTATTTTGCAATAGTCATTACTGTCTTCTTTGTGCAGGGAAAGAATACACTTACTGTAATGCATTGCATGTTGATTTCAATTTAGAATTATTTTTGTTTGGTAATACTTAATTTTCGGTAGAAATCAATACAAACCTTTTTAGACATGTGCATCATTACATCAAATCCAGCAATAGGTTTTGATAACTATAATCATTTTTTTATTTTTTATTTTGTGTGTACGTTGCTATATGTGTTTCTGAAATTGCATTTCATTATTTTGCCTGATTTCTTAGTTATATTGATTGATTTTAATTTTAGATTACTCTACCAGACTGCATGTCATGAAATTTGTACAATTTATAATTTATTCAAATTCGGATTCATTTCAAAGATTACACGTTTTTTCTAGGTAACATCCCCCCTCCCTTATCATTATCCCTTTCCCCAAAAATATATATACATTATTTTTACCATTTGTAATGAGGAAAGGACTACATTAAGTTGAAATAACTTGCAATAGAATATGCTTAAACTTGACCTACTGTATCCCACTGCACGGCGTGAGGAGCGACTGACATAGGGCCCCCTACTTCAGGACCAGGGTTTCCTTATTTCCTTTTCCTCTTACTTACCCGTTGGCATATATAAGGCCCCAAACAGTCTATGTCCTACATATATTCAAAATATTCATAATACGGCAGTACAACAGGCTATCATCATACATAGTTATTTTGTAACAACGTCATTTATAGGAGTGTAACAACACAATCGACAAACATCGTCTAGTTCCGGTATCCTTCGCAATGGAATCTTTTGATGTTATTGGCCGGATTGCAACGCTATCAGGGCTTAAAGATTGGCGAGTCCCGTCCGTCCGTTCGTCTGTCGGTCTGTCCGCCTGTCTGCACTAAGGTTTAGAAGAACGGTTAAGCTCAGTTTCCAAGTTATTGATTATCCCACATTAACTAAACTTACAGGGCTTATGTATCTAAGAATGCTTATCACATGCGAAGCTTCGGATGCTGCTTCTGACCTATATTTTTTGCTTTAGTGACCAGGTTAAGCAGATTAGTTGAGGTCAGGCCCCATCTGCATTATTGTTGGTTTAAACTTTGTTTTATTCAAATTTTGTTTGACAATACATCGAAATACATGTTTTATAAAACAGAAAAGGAAACAAAAACAAGTGTCGTGACAATATTGTTAAGAAATTTGGTTAAGGTAATAAGTTTGTGTCACCATTTCTCAGTAGAATTTCTTCAAATTTTGTACTTATATTGCTTTGAAGTAAAGAAAATTGTCTGCCACAAAAAAAAGGAGTGAACTTAAAAAAATAATGTCAGTAAAAATGATACTGCCATAGATTAGTATTACATTAATGAATATCAATTTAATAAATGCTGAAATTGTATAAAATAAAGTATCTATAAACGATTAAAAATTGAAGTAGAAGACTATAACAGATTTATCGTTCGTGTCGACGTCAAAAGTACAAATTTATGGTCTATCCCAAATGAGAGTGTGATTAATGTGTAGTACCAACTGTCAGACAACAGCGCGTGATCAGTGCCGGTGGGCACTTACAGGGGCTTGAGGCGCCATCCATCTTCGCGACCTCACAAAGGCAGACCCGGAAGAAGCTACGTATACCCCTGACGTCACAGGGAGATTCGCCAGTTAGATCTGTCTTAGCGGTGTGTTTGTATTGAACTTTTAACCATTGTAAGGAAATGTATATTACATAAATGGTGAGTAAGAATTTTTCAAACATTCTACATTGAATTCATTTTTATAACTCATTTTTTTCCGCGTGCAGTTATTTACTGAAAATATACAATCTACTGCATGTATGTTGAAAATAGTACCATACTATATGTTTATGTATGGCCACGATGTAACACGCTGACGTAGGCTCACTTTAGATAATGTTAATATATGGAGAGCTCAGTAGTTTGTTGTATGCTACTAAGATCAAGTAAATCATTTTATAACTTATAACAAAAGTTCTCATCCATAAACAGTAATTGTTATTATTTTATATGTGTCAATTCAATATTCCAAATTAACACTCAATTATATTACTCTATGATCGTATTACAATGTACGCTGTAGTATCACGTAGCACTGTAATATCACTGATCACGTGACAATATATTATCATTTTAACTCTATCATCATGTTACATTTTATCAATGAGTGACACTATTATCACGTTACACTATGAACACTTGACACTATATTATCCTTGGTGTTTTACACTCGATTTTTCATGTTACACTCTTTCATCTCGCGACTTGGCTAATCATGTGATTCCATTGTCACGTGATATCATATCATAACACGACTATTTCATCATGTGACTCTATTGAACACTTAATTGATACCGTGGCATTAGTATCACATAACACTATGTTATGTTACACTTTTATCACGTGACATATTCCTCTCATATGACACTTTATAAAATCTATTATCATGTTGATTTTACCACATTATCATTTTATTATGACATGATTTACACGTGACATTATTATCACGTGGAATAATCTCATCACGTGACACTGTGTTATATGTTAAAAAGAAGTACGTATTAACGTATTTTCAAAAAAAAAAAAAAAGGGTTAAATGAAGATGACCTATGTAAGTAATAGAGCACATGTAAGTACGGTAACAATGATAATGACCACTGCTATTATGACATGTAAGTACGGTAACAATGATAATGACCACTGCTATTATGACATGTAAGTACGGTAACAATGATAATGACCACTGCTATTATGACATGTAAGTACGGTAACAATGATAATGACCACTGCTATTATGACATGTAAGTACGGTAACAATGATAATGACCACTGCTATTATGACATGTAAGTACGGTAACAATGATAATGACCACTGCTATTATGACATGTAAGTACGGTAACAATGATAATGACCACTGCTATTATGACATGTAAGTACGGTAACAATGATAATGACCACTGCTATTATGACATGTAAGTACGGTAACAATGATAATGACCACTGCTATTATGACATGTAAGTACGGTAACAATGATAATGACCACTGCTATTATGACATGTAAGTACGGTAACAATGATAATGACCACTGCTATTATGACATGTAAGTACGGTAACAATGATAATGACCACTGCTATTATGACATGTAAGTACGGTAACAATGATAATGACCACTGCTATTATGACATGTAAGTACGGTAACAATGATAATGACCACTGCCATTATGACATGTAAGTACGGTAACAATGATAATGACCACTGCTATTATGATAAGTACAAAAACATAAACTGAGCATAATCTCTTGTTTTTCACAATTATAAACAGCAATCGTTTACTTTCGAGATTAATATAATTGATGATGTATATTTCATGTTCGGTAACTGACAACTGTTTGCCATATTTCAGGCATGTCAGTATTTTTATAAGTTAACACTTTTCCGTTTAGGATAAGGTTAGTATTCTAATTTTGATATTCATGTGACATAACTTTAAGATGTGTAATAAATTGGCTGTAAATGAGGTAACTAATGATTAAGATTGGAACCATTTTATAACAAGTAAGACAGTGTGTATCAATAGAGAGCAGTAGTACTTTGGTCAAAAGCACATTTGAGGTCAAATGTAACGATTTGGGTAACACGTGTATTGATTGACGGGTGAATGTTGAATTGTAGATAGTGCTATAGGGCTTTCCATCTATTGACCACCAGGTTCGTCATTGATGACGTAGAGATAGAGGCGAGAGTGAGAACTCACCAAAACAGGAGTAACTGTCATTGCCATATGGTACATCTAGTATTGTTGTTTTGGTAGGGGAAAGTTACACGAGAAGTTAGATTAAATTGCTGCACGTGCCTCATAACTTATACACCATAGGTGGTACCTACTTATGAAGAGTTAATGTTGTAAATTTTATAAGGAATCCAGAGTTGGGAGTGTAGAGTGGAGAGTCGGGATTCGGGGTTTGGGAATGTGAGCCTCTGGAGAGAGAGGCCAGGGAAGGCTTGGGCCGAATGGGCCTGTGATGGCCCTGGAATGGCCCGAGTACAGCACTTGGTGTGCTTTAGAACTATGTGTTTGGTGTTGTAACTCTATATGATCTGTCTGCATGTATATTTGCTGTCGTGTTCCAGAACTGTGTTAAAAAGGACATTTATTTTATTTAAGAGATATCTTACAAATAGGGCCTACTCGAGGTATGGACCCTTATTAACTGTCGCAGCCACAACGTGCATATTACAAAAACAATAATACCACATGTGTTATTCCGTATATTGTGTAACAGATGTGATAAATTTGCCATTTTTTATAATTATTTTTATTTTGATAAGACGTGACCATTTATACAGGTTTGGTAATTTTTAATGAGGTGTTATCCCTATTTCAGGATTGGTCAGTCCGTCATGCCGTCATAGGAGTGATTTTCCTGGTCGCCGTCGTTTCAGGTGAGAACAAAAGATTCAAACTTAAAGTCTTTAAGAAACCGTGTCAATCATTATCTGAAGCACATCCACAGTTCTTCCTGACATTACAGCTTGACACTTGTTCAGCATCCTCGCTGATGTCAAGGTGATACGAAGGCAGTGATCTTCTCATTTGTTCATATGTCTCCCGACTCTTTGATGAAAACAGAGCATACATAATACCAAAGACATCTGAGTTTAGCCACTAGAAAAATAAATAAATGAATAAAAATAAATTTCATTTAAAAAAAAAAAAATGGAAAAGAACCGGTCTGGAACCCGTCCGTCCTCGATACACTAAGTTTAGAGGCCAAACAGGTTTCCAACCGGTTTCTTTTTTTTATGAACTTTTATTCTCAGTTTATTTTCGAATGGCTAAGTACAGATGCATGTGATAATATAAAAAGTACACTAATATATATAAAGACTATAAAATGTCGAGATAGATCAGGGGCGGATACAGTTTATTTAGGGTGTTGCCCAAACATAGAAAATAGAACTTAATTTAGCCACAATTGTTCGCGCTTAGGAATTGGCATAAAGGCTGTATTATAATTTATGTCATCATATTATTGAGATAGATAGGGTATATGTCGCTGATTATAGGGGAGACCAGGATAACGTTCTGACCCTGATATTAGATATTCGTGGGAAACCTGATTATGAATCTTTAGTTATTTTCATGGGAAACCTCTTTATGAATCTTTGGTTATTTTCATGGGAAACCTGTTTATGAATCTTTGGTTATTTTCATGGGAAACCTGTTTATGAATCTTTGGTTATTTTCATGGGAAACCTCTTTATGAATCTTTGGTTATTTTCATGGGAAACCTGTTTATGAATCTTTGGTTATTTTCATGGGAAACCTGTTTATGAATCTTTGGTTATTTTCATGGGAAACCTCTTTATGAATCTTTTATTATTTTTATGGGAAACCTGTTTATGAATCTTTTGTTATTTTCATGGGAAGCTTGTTTATGAATCTTTGATAATCCTTCTGCAACTTAATAAATTACGTGAGACAAAAACAAAACTCTTATGCAAACAGTTAAAGCCTTCCCAATGTAGTAGGACGAGGAATAGTGATTAGGAAAGTGCCGTCGCCGGTACTCGAACCCGCGACCCATTGCTCTTCAGCCTGACGCTGCCTCTGAGCTAAAGGGAAATTCCCTACAGCTGACGCTTGTAAGGCAACCTAATCAATGCACTTCTTTAACACTATTCCCCCGCTTTTTTCAATCACCAACCCAGGTTGTTTGACTCCCGCCAAGGGTTCTCCTACCTTGAACGGGGAGGGACAACGGCACCAGTTTGTAGTAGGACGAGGAATAGTGATAAAGAAAGTGCCATCGCTTGGGCTCGAACCCGCGACCATTGGCTCTCCAGCCCGATGATCTACCGCTGAGCTGTAGGGAATTTCCCTTTAGCACAGCGGCAACCTAATCAACGCACTTCTTTTACACCATCGCTTTGCCAGTACCAATACCCGATACCGGCGAAAACCTAGAATGTTGGTAGACAAACACCCTGGCTGCTACAGTATTTGTTATGCTTGACAATCAGAGAGGCTGACCTTATACTTGTCTTTATGATGTTATTGACATAATTCGTCTATAGGATGTTATTGCCATGAATAAAAAGAAACAAAAAATATCTTTATAAATTATAGATGTACGCCTGAAGCACCGTACAAAATTAACAGCAGTGTTGATCGTTTAATGACAGCTTACTCCCGAGCTTCGATAGCATTTTAGAAAAAAACATGTGTAAATTGTCGCAATTTAAAAATCGAAAGGAACACTTTTAGTTAAATATAAAATCATTGTAACATGTTGGAAAGATGTCAGATATAAGACAAATCAGATATGCTGATCTGAAGCAAAATGCTTGGCATAAGCGTGCAGCCATTTGCCATCTTGAGATGTGCGTTTCAAACTGTATTAACTGTTTAAGATCGTATTTGTATAAACCTTACTGGATGTAGGTTTGGTACACATAAACGTGTCTTTGCTGAATGATGAAAAGGGAGCTTAAACCAAAGTATGAAACTTACAACAATATGTTTCCTTTTAAAGAAATCGCATGCATAGTATATACATTTGTTTCAACAAAATTTATACCAAAGACAGACACATTGTATACGTATTTCAATACTTTTATAATGAGTAGAAATAGGAGAAACGAAAGAAGGGAAAAGAAATGAGAAGAAATTAGACCCGTGAATTGTGTTAGAGAGGCTACCATCTTTCATTTGTATTTAAAACCAAACTAATATTTTACAGGATTGTCATCAAATCCAAATACAACCTAGCCTCTAGTCTTCATTGTATGTTTTGAAAGACGCGGTGGGAGTCTTCAACGATCTTAAACGTCACTACGGACTAAATAAAATAGATCAGACAGTGAACATAGCTTAACTATCATATATTTGACCGTGATATGAGTTGTTTGCATATGTGATACTGCTAGCTGCGCATAGAGCATATCCCGGATCAACCGATTTCCGCCCGGCATGCGTGGGAGATTGGTTTGGTATTAGTTTTGTTTAACGTCCTGTTAACAGCTAATGACATTTAAGGACGTGCCGCCATGTGTGATGTGTAAGCGTGCATGTGTGTATGTGTGCCTGATACCGTGTATATTGGTGTACTTTCCTCCTTGTGATAGCGCTGATCTGATGCCGACTTTATAGTGCTATCTCACTGAAATACCATGCCGAAGGCCCCCGGCAACAACATTCCGTCCGGTCACATTATACTGGCAACGTGTGAACCAGTTGTTACCATTAACCTAAATGCTGAACGTTAAGCAGTGAATGACATCTACAATTTTTAAGGACTTTGGTATGTCCTGGCCTGGGCGAACGTTCACAATGAAAGCCAAAAGTGAGGTAATGTCAAGCAAGGAGGTTCGATATAAAAGGAAGTTAGACGTAGAAAGAAATATAAAGATCCCAAATATCGCAATGGGTACAGCAGATTTATTTTGGTCGCTTTTGTTTCCCAATGAAATGGGCACAGAAGCAATTATTATGGGGATTCGCATTGGTCGCCCCTTACAATACATGTAGTGGGTAACAGCAGGTGCATTCTTGTCTCGACCCCCGACCTGCAGGGTTGACGCGAGGGAGGAAATGAAATCTAACAAGTTGTGTGCAGTTAGCTCTTTATACGGCATTCATATTTCGAATGTTAAGTAGATCGACATACGGCATTCAGATTTTGAATGTTGAGCGACTCCATATCCGACATTCAGATTTTGAGTGTTAGGGGCGAGTAAGACAGATTAAGGAATGATACAGAAATTTAAATGTCACATAACTCGACATACGACGTGACACATTCAGATTTTGAATATCATAAATGTCGTATGTTTGGCTAACTTCACGAAGCTAATCACACATGGGCAAATCAGGTCATGGTGATGAAGATTGAACCATCAAGCTAAGTACATGGTATTTATTGGCGAGCAGGATGCTTCTTTCCTGGGAATGCATTAAATATAGAGTAGGCTCTCTAGTAGTCACATGCAACTCCAACGAGAGAAGCTGCTATCTAACTTACCAGCAAAGTTGACGACCGTGAAATGATAATTGTCATAGAGTTGTCGTTTGAATTTTACAAATTTTCTAGTGATATGTCAAGTCATATAGAGCTGCAGTAGAGGTATTTTTTAATTCAATTTCAAGAGGATGCGTGTAATACTTTACAGTTGCAATGCAAGGTCAAGTACAGTTAATAAAAATGTAAAATAAAAAATATATGTAACAAAGTAAGTAAGGATGTCGTGTGTGAAATTATCATTTAAGGCTTGTGCACGTACCACAATCATTTCAAGTAAATTGTTCAGTGTGTTTATATGGTTATCTGAGATGATAGGCCTTTGGCACTGTTACAGGAGAGAGAGCACACAGATGGCGACGGAGTCTTCCCCAGCTAAATAAGATGATACGAACAGTGACGGGTAAATCCGGACTGGACTTCAACGGCTACGGCAATTGGTGTGGCGTCGGAGGGTCCGGGGAACCAGTCGACGAAATTGACCGGTAGGTTATCCCGGGGGGTTGAAAGAACAAAGACGACAGAATTGACAGAAAGGTTATCCCGGGGGGTCAGGAGTATCAGTCGACGGAATGGAAAGGTCAGTTTTCCTTGGGGGTGGGAAGTACTAGTCGACGGAATGGATAGATGGATTATCTCGGGGGATCGGGAGTACCAGTCGTTGAAATTGTCAAGTACATATAGGTTAACCCGTAGGAGTTTAAGTACTCAGACGACGGAATTGACAGGAAGGTTATCCCGGGGGGTCAGGAGTATCAGTCGACGGAATGGAAAGGTCAGGTTTCCTTAGGGGTGGGAAGTACTAGTCGACGAAATGGAAAGGTGGGTTATCTTGGGGGGTCGGGAGTACTAGTCGACGGAATGGATAGGTGGCTTATCTTGGGGGATCGGGAGTCCAAGTCGACGGAATGGAAAGGTCAGTTTTCCCAGGGGGTCGGAAGTACTAGTCGACGGAATGGAAAGGTGGGTTACCTTGGGGGGTCGGGAGTACCAGTCGACCACAATGCGGTATCGTAAATTCCAGTCCTATGCTAGTTTTTTTTATTGTATGAATCTCCAAAACCAGAAATTTCGCTCTCTCATATTTTCTGCACCTTTGCGATATGTTATGACGAAATCCAAGGTTCTGTACCCGTCGCAATGTCGATGATACAACTAAACTAGTTTGATCCTTTGTAGTACGCTAAAAGAATCGCGCGGAAGCGTAACGGTACAATTGATCGACTTTGAAGTCCGGTGTCGCTTAGGCCTAACAATTGTTCAGTTTTACCCGAAACAAATCAAATAGCTTACTTTGTACCTTAGAGTTTGCCATGACATATTCCAGCGGTGCAATACACGTAAGTTAGCGTAACCCCTGGATTTCGGAGATGCATTGTACAAATGTATGAAACTGATACGGAAACCATCTGTACAACGATTTGGCTCAAATTTCCAAAGAATTTATTGCAATTTTATTGAAAAGCATGTCTTCCGCCAACTTTGTTATCCACAAGACACTCATAAAAAAGGTCCCATGTGTTGCTTTGCGTGTAACAGGTGGCGCTGATTCTGCAGGGTAGTACTGTATACATTATACAAATGGTCCTAATTTTTTTCAGGATCATGATCATAACTTATAAAATCACAAAGCCAAAGATGTGACACCATATCCTGTATAAATATGTTTTACATGTAGTCCACATCCGTAGCCTCAAATGACGATCCTGGAACATGTTGAGTTTCTTTATCATAAACTATAAAACTACATAACTAATGGTGTGACGTCATATCCTGTATTTACAGATGCTGTAAGGCACACGACCTGTGTTATGACAACATAGCAACGAAAGCGTGTAAATCGGCCAAAGGAGAAATACTAACTACATATACAACAATTTACAACTGGACACTGACCAATGGTCATTTACAGTGTAGTAAGTAAACACAAAATCTTGACCATCTCCATTTTAACAATTTTTCAAGTTGACGTTTGTCTTTTACCTTTTTTTCCTTTGAGGTAATTTCTTTTAACATGTTTTATCTATGGACCCTAATTACCTCTTTTGTGTTGATGGGCCAGAATCAAATAATGATAATAAATGACCATCGCAGTCACCGCCCACCACAACGACTTTAATTCGCACTGTAAGCTTTATTGGTTAGACATGTTTTGATGATGATGATGATGATGTTATGATGATGTTAAGATGATGATAATGAGGATGATGCTTACCTTTCATCTTTCCAAGTTGATTTTTCTACTGATCATGCGTTTTTCATAATCGTTTGAACTTCAAGTAAACCATTAAAAATCGCATTTTTTCCGCGCGAGGGAAAAGGATCTCTCCAATACCCACTCTAATCAAACTCCTGAAACTTTCCACCTCAACCGTTCCAGCTGCTAAATCTGCCGCTGCGTCACTGTCTGATTATGATGTTATGTGTCTGTCTATCTACCCCTGTCTGTGGATGTATGTGAGTGTTTTCCATCCGTCTGTCTGTCCTAAATTGTCTAATAAATTCCGTTCTCAGATGACGTGTTCCCATGTCAACACGCCCTGTGCATGTGTGATAGACAAGCAACCACGTGCTTTGCTCTCAACTTAGCTTCCTATGACAACGGCAAAAGGAGTAGGATTGGCATACTTATAGGGAAACTGCTCGCCTTTTAAGGGTAAGTATTATTTCTGAGAGGAAAATCGTCTAGTTCGGCATGTATATACATCTTTTTCTGTGTCAGCTCATGAATGACATTTCGTTTTTGGCTCTGTTGCCGGCGGAAAGACACGAAATGACAAAGCCTATATATAAAGAGAAAAGGTGGATTCCCACCAAAGCGAAATTACGGCAATACTGCGCGAAAATATGTCAAAAGGTGAATGCACAAATACCATATCCATTCTTTGTCTTGGCGCTTTTTTTACTTTGGTTTGACTTTTTTTGTTCTGTTGCCTTGGTGATTGTCGTTATTTTATTTTGGTTTGTCACTTGGCGTCTTTTAGCCTCCAAAAGAGCAAAAAGATTACTTACAAGGCGAGATATTGTACAATAAATAAAACAACTAACTTTTATGAAAATTTAACAGGCATAAACACATATTGACAAAGTGGGAAAAGGGAATTAAAATGAAAGTAGTATGTACAGATAAGCGTGTAAAACCTGCATGAAAGAAAAGCAAAATAGGTGAATCGAATACAAAGGAGAAGGTAGAATTGAAAATTGGTTTTTAAACAAAGAGAGCAAAAAAGTACGATGATCAAATGGCTCGGTATAGAAGCACTAGATACGAGCACATGATTCATTTATGTATAGATTTAAATTAACAGCACATACTAATACAATCATGAAAATTAACACTATATCAATATCATTATACACTTTATCTATTTGATTATATGTCTGTATAGATAGATACATGTATCAGTAGATATGCAGGCATTATAAGATGATTAAGGAGCAATTGTTGATAAATGAGCCATCATTCTAAGTACATTAAAAATAATATTAAATTTCATATGAGCGACCATACTTTCTAGATGATGTATTAATTTAAACTTCGGCCATATGTTATTTTTACAAAGAATATCTCCATGCCCAATTCCGTCTTTGCATATCGCAGAGTTATATTCTCTTGGGAGCAGGTATTGATTGTTACGTCCTTGGTTTGTGTGAGAAAATTACGTCGTTTTCTCAAAAATTGATGACGTTACTCTCACAAACAAATGACGTAACAATCAATACCTTCTCACAAGAGCAGATAACTCTGCAATACGAAAAGACGGAATAGTGAATGGGAAAATGATGTTGTATTTCAATTATTAAGTAATAAGGCCAAATGGCTAAAGCGATTAACTAATAACATTTTCTTTCATCGTAATGGAATAGAAAGTCAATATCTTTAATTTGATATTGCTTTTAAGCCATAATTTAAATTAACCAGTTTTCAATGCAATGATTGTAAATGTCTTTCATTGTAAATTACGAAAATAACATCTTAAATCCTAAATTAACTCGACTATTATTTAGAAACAATGTAAAATGCACTGAGTCATAACCTAATATTTATTATTAACAGACTTTATTCTCCTCCAGGACTGTCATCATTATGGTTCAAATGGGAAAAAACCCAGCGAAGACAATCTAACACTCCTAACACCAGCGATGAAAGAAGACACTGACACTTTTATTTTGCCGTTTGATGCAGACATGAGTTGTCGTTAATGCCCTGTTGCGTGTGCACATTCGTTGAGGACTGTTGATGAATGAACAGTGCAATTCTATCATTTGTTATGTCAGCTTTGTCGATGACGAAAACCCCTAATCAATTACATCATGTCTCTACAGGTGCGAAGTTGTTACGTTCATTTGTATTCCGATTGGTTTCGCTTTCTACGGACTGAAAGCTAACTGAGTGGCTCTTTGCACGACCTGTTTAAGAAATAAGCTTTGTATAAATTGAACGCTAGATTGGTTAAAAAATCTTGCAAGAAATTGTTGAAAACCATTGAGGACGGGGAGTGTTCCATTAAGGGACCGCAGAACCAAATGATTTTCCATAGACGATAGTGTTAACGTTTACCACTGTCCTGGTTAAATGGGGTTATCCACACTGGTTTACCTGCCCTCGTTTTGAAGAATATCATCTCACACAACTGTAAATAAAATATTTAAAAATTCTGCCAATTTGAACCTTTTTTTATATGGCAGCCGCCATCTTGTATTGAATTCGGCACCAAAAATAGACCAAAATTTACAACAAATTACACACTTAATAAACTCACCCAGACAAAAGCAGACTTGAAAAAAAACATAAAAAAATAATGCATATTACATCTATGTATATTGCTCAACCCATACATAAAACTTTTGAAACTTCTGCCACCTAAATATCCAACCAGCAGGCCCCGAGGCATTCACCTTCCTATTAAATCTTCTACCCAAAAGAGAAAAACCCACAATCTATTTTTGATTAGGTTCCGTGGTCCCTTAACACAGTTTATTGACAATGAATGTTTCCTGTTGGAAATCCTTCTTCAATTGTACAAACTTATACTGCAAGGTAGTGCCATGAAAATGACACGTCTACCACAAAAATATGTTTGCCGTATACACAATGCATACGTTAACATGTACCTATCGATTTGAAGAAAGATAAGTTATCCGAAAGAGGAGAAATCGATCAAAATATTAGATGATCTACTGACAGGAAGCTAACAGCAAATCAGTTAACTAATTAACGGGGGACACTTATCTGTTATTACCAAAAGTCAAAACCTCTACAACAGCAAAGCTCCGTAATAGAGGAGAGTGAATCTTAGACAGATTGGAGAATAAACCTCCGACAGAGAGTAGAGTTAATCTCCGACAGAGAGAAGAGCGTAATTCTGACAGGGAGGCGAACCTTCGACAGTGATGGGAGCTTATCTCTGACAGAGAGAGGGGCGAATCTCACCTCCGACAGAGAGTAGAGCAAATCTCCGACAGAGAGAAGAGCGTAATTCTGACAGAGAGGCGAACCTTCGACAGTGATGGGAGCTTATCTCTGACAGAGAGAGGGGCGAATCTAACCTCCGACAGAGAGTAGAGCAAATCTGATGTTGGAACCATTACCCTTTTGAGGAGATTGGCCTACTTTTTGTCAAAGCAATCTCTTGGTCGATTTGAAAAGATCTATGCTTCATCAGCAACATTGAAGTTTTAACATTACCTTGGAGAATCGTGCTCACGAAGAAAATAGCATTATATATTTATTTTACAAATGTGCTTCTTGTGAATCAAAATACATAAAATAATTCATGTCTTATTCCGAAAAAAAGAAAAGCAATAAGGATAAAATTCCGATTTTCGTGAAAACTAGCAGCCAGCTTGAAACCACATATTTAAAAACAAATTATTAAAGTTAGGCGTTGTACATGCTACGATATTACTTCGACAAAAAAAATATAAAAAAATAACTTCATTGGCAATAGTAGTACAGTTTTAACAATATTATGCAACCACAACTCTTACATACATTGTTACCGTTTTGAAATCTACGTCAAGCATGAAATATTCCACATCAACTTGCTATTAGTGCAAGTAATAGCCTCTAAACAATTTCAAAATATCTTGGATTTTTTCAGCTTAGATATAAACATAAACTTAAATAATATTTACACCTCAATGACTTATCGTGTTGACCTTCTACCACCATTAGATAACACTCGAGTCAATATTAATTCAGGGAGCGTATGCAGATCTATCGTTCAAAATATATCTGTACCCAATACACCTGCACGATGAACAAATGGGCAAACCTGAAAATAAACGCAAGTGCTCGATATGAATATTTAAATCGAGGTCAATGCGACAGGTGGTACACCAACTATGGCTAGTAATTGACCTTTCCTTCAGGTTACACAGGTCAGCAAGATGATAACTGGACACGGGTGTGGTCAAGTTTATTAGGGCGCAAAATAATCCCAGCCCCTTTCCATTAGTGATGGAGTAGGTGATATACCCTCCTGAGATGATGTTGGTAATGTTGGTTTGGTATCTCTCTAGATACACTTCACTGGGGTTGTAAGCCAGCTAATCGGACAAGGACGCTAACCTTGTTTTTAAAAATACACTTGACTTGTGACCTGGTGTTGGAAATGTATGTTACTTTGTACACAGGCGTGAACTCTAGATTAGTCTGCGTTATCGGGAGTTGTACGCCTGATAAATATTAGACCCTCAAGAGCAGGTCAGCCTCAATCGTATCAGCTTCGTAGATAATATGTAAATATATCTAGCTGTTGGTTGACTTATCGCATCAAACCGAGCCAACTCTTCACTCTAATGGTTTTCATTAATTCATTTTTTGCGCCCAAATTCCAAATCGCAAATATGTGAACCGAGAAATGAACAATTAAATGTATGTAAACAACCTTTGTAAATGATCGCATATCAGTTCTTTCATTTCATTTTAGTAAATTTTATTAAAAAAAAAAGGATTGGACAACAGGCTATGCCTATATTAGTCCTCTCCTAGCCAGAATTACAAACATACATTAACTATATAGAAAGAAAGAGAGAGAAATGTTACATATATATATAGTAGAAGTAGTTATAGAAAAAATGGTGAAAGGGGAGTAACTCCCTCAGACGGTTTATTTATAAATGAATAAATAAATAAATAAGCCTCATTTATTGAGACCAAGGATCCCCCAGTGTTAGGCAGCAAGAGATCCACAGACTACTAGGGATTCTGACCATACAATGTACCCTGGCTTAGGCCATTTACCTCAGCAGACCTTTGATTCTTGCCATGCAAAACTAGGAGATCTTTGGTAATATATTATTATACAGTTTCAGCAGAAGTCATTTTTTTCAGTATCATCATCCCACCATCTACATTCATCTATTTATTTTCATTTATCAATTTATAAAGTTAGAATTATTATTTATAGAAAAAAATGTAAGCAAGATAAATTTGTCTTTCACATTACAGTAACAACTAATGGTGGTTAAATAATCTCTTTGTATCAGTGATAAAGACTGAAACTTTTTCATGTATAGTAGCATTAATATCATCACTACAATGTGAACAACCATTGAGAAAGACATCTTTATTGTTATGCATATGTTTATCATTCGGTAAGGAGTTCATCGGAACATGTCTTTGGTTATTAAAGTTTTGACATTCAAAAAAGTAGTGGTAGGGGGTTTCTTGATCCTGTCTGCAATCACATTATAAAGGTCAAAGTTCAAGTTACTGGCTTTATTTCGTAGTTGGCATACACTAATATTAATTCTTCTGCATCCTTAATATTTAATTATGAGGGTTACATTATTATAAGGTCTGTTAAGGTTTTTTAGGTATTTTTTTTTTAAACTGATATAGGGACTGGGAGTTAGTTATAGTAGAGTCCAACTGATTATACTTGTTGAAAGTGGCAGGAAAGTAACTGTTAAAATAAGTATCCGTTCGACAGAGAGGCGGATTAAAAATTCGTTTTCCCCTTAACTTGTATCTTATATTTGTATTATCATTAATAAATGGATCTACAAGTAGAGGGTATATTATGTAAATTATTGGACATCTGAGGCGCGTAGACAGTTTGATACTTATATCTTACTTAAAACACACACCCTCTTTGTGTTAATATTGGAGTTTCAAAACCTGTTCAGTATGTGCAATCAACCACGAAGGCTATTGCTACAATAAATGGCAGTGATGTCCTTAAGCATACTTTGCATGCTTTTGTACAAGTGCATGTATTACAGGTGTGTGAAATATGCCCGAGTAGAATTTAGTCTAGTTTGAATAATGTCGTCCAACAGTGAAGGTGCGTTCCCAACACAGTCCCTGTGCAATACATTTTGAGCATCAGCATTCAGTATTGAAATGGATTAAATATAAATAATGTGATTGATGTATTGAAGAAAGTGATTACAGTATATTTCTGAGATTATATCTGTGAGAGAATGAAATGAAATAATCAAACCACACAATTGAAGTGAGAAAGTTCAAGATTTCAACACCACCTCCAAAATAACAATGGATGACATCACAGCTGTTTTAATATTTAATTAGCAAGATGGGGAGGCATTATGCAGAATTCAATACATTAAAATAAATGTTTGTTCATTTCTTCTTTCAGCTCATGTTTCCCATTCTATAATTCTTCATAAAGTTTCACATGAGGCGTTCCTCGACGTAAACCTGTAATTATCCTGGCTGCATACATCAGTATATCAGTTCTTTGCATGACTGCTCACTGATGAGACAATATTTATAATACCTGTTCAAGGAAGGCATGGTAAAAGATAGAAAAGTTACCAACTACATTGTTAAAATACAATTATAGTTACCCATTCAAATTATTATTCCATTTCTAAAGTTCCATCAATTACATGTACAAATATAAATTCCTTTTCTTCATTTAATTGATGTATTTATAGATCGTTAGATCAAAAACCTTTTTAACACAGGTTGTGTAATGATATCAATCACCTTTCATGGGGTCATTACAAATAAATTCATACAATGTTTGTGATGTAGATAGATATACACTTATGTGCTGGGTAATCCTTAAAAAGTGACACATATACCGGCGACTTGCATAAACATTTATGTATTCATTTTTAATTATTATCGAAAGATTCGTACGAGAAATTGTACCGACAAAACTCGGCAATAGATATAGTTAGCCAAAATGTATTGACGCTACACAGCACAGCTTTGTTTTTACCTATTATTCGTGGGTGATGCTAGTGAAGATCACAACTGGTCTAAACTAGTGCTGAAATAGAAGGGGAGGTGCATCAAACCAGTTTGCTATATGCATTTCAGAAATTAGAACAGTAATTTTAAATGAACAATGCGTAAAGTGCTTATATTAAAAACCGCGCCTCTACTTAAAATATGACAATGTTTTTGTCACAATCTTGTTTGAAATTATTACATATTTCAACAGGCATAAAGGCGTTATAATCATATATACTTTGATTCACCTTAGAATGATTTTGCCATAGACGATAAAAAAAACTTTATCATTTTGACCCACTTTATATCTATAAAACTGAAGTGTTATATCATCAGTGTTCCATGTCGGCGACGTAAAGACATTTCTTATGGGTAATATTCTTTTTTGTATATTTTATTGGACAATAAAGATGCGCGTGCATGCGTTTATTTTCGAGTAAACGATGAACATGCAAACGGGTGATCCATGTTAGACTTGGAATTAGCTTTATGGAGTGTGGTAATGCTCGACATGTGTTTTGATATCGGTAAAAGTATTAGCGTAATGTCTGTGTTGTCATTAGCACAGACCTATCCTGGAAGTAATGCTAAGAGTGCATCAACTGCTTCCTATAAACTCCTTATGAAATGGCGGCCGCAATATCACTACGAAGGAAAGTACTCCACTTTAAAATTACTGAGGCGGTTATGGATGTTATATTGTAAATAAATGTTAAGTTTGAATTATTTTCGATGGTCCAATTTAAATGTCATTTGTAAAGCATTGTAATATATGCTAGGTACTTATCATTGCAGTCGTCTGTCTAATGTCTGTGATGCACGGCTATTAGCCTTCGATTTATATATACAGAGCATAATACAAGCTTACAACGCAACACTTAGCCCCTTCTCGATATTCCAGGGCTTACGCTCACTTTTGCTCTCTACACCCCTGGAATATGTCATAGAAAAATTGAAGGCACGAAGATAGCTGTTTGATTGGTCTCATGTAAAAAAAATACTGACCAATCACTAGGCCGATACCTGTCCTTTAAAGATTACAAAGGAGAGACGCTCTTCTTCAAAGCCTGTCAATTCTTACCGTTACCTGACCACGATATTATTTTGATGTATATCAAAGGATCGAACTAGTCTTCTTGTCTCATCAACAATATTGTACACAGAGCCTTCAATTTTGCTATGACATATTACAGGGGTGTAGAGAGCAAAGGTGAGCGTAACCCCTGGGTATCGAGGGTCATCGGTAGCCAGGTACAACGAAAGCTCAACTCGGAAACGGTATGGAGCGAAACGGAAAGGGTTTGAAACGGAACGAATAAAATAAGTAGTCTGCGACGGAAACGGAACGAAGTGAATCATGAGAACGGATTGCTTTAAACTGAAACGCCGACACCTCTGTATACGATATATATGGTCCAGGCATTCAACCAAATTTATTCTACCATTCAAACGAATGATTCAAATTTTCGAAGTCATAATATTTGCAAAACAAAATCAAATCCCGATTGAAATAAAAAGAATCAACCTCACTGCTTATAAATAATTTCAATAAACTGAAACCATAACATAGAATTTGTTTCGACCAATCAGATTTGAACATGAACATCACACACACACAGCCCTTATTTATTTAACATCTGTTCATTAATTCAATGAAATCATTTATTATGCCGGAGAGTATGTCTTTAGGCGAGAAACCGTGTATGATATTCAAAAAATATTCAACGTATGTGCGTTTATATTGGTAGAAAATATAACGAAGGTGGGACAAAATATCTGGAAAAATATCAGCAAGACCGTATGCGGCCTGAACTTATTAATTTCACAACATTTGTGAATCAATCCATCCAAATATGCAAACGAACGTTGATTATATCTACATTTTTTGTATTCTACCAAGTAAAACATTCGACAAATAAAACCAGTCGCTTGTATATAGGTACATTTGCGGAACAACACTACAAATATTTCACATTGATACAACTTTGACACAGGTGAAATTACACTCAAAGCCTATCCTACGCTTGTTCTTAACGCAGAATCCTGCCTCGGTCACAAATGCTTCC